CCCTAGCGTTACGTGACCACTGAACTTCGTCCTTTCTCATGGTCACGGTCCTTTCTCAAATACTGTAGCGCATACATATGGGGGACAGCTGCTATCAAATGTGGTGAAGTCGAATAGGGGATTCTCAAAGACAGGAGAAGATTCCAAGTAGATGAGCCTCTCATCATTTGTGTAAAACTTGGTATTTGTGAGACGCAGCGTACGCAATGCAGACAAGGGCAGAAAATCGGTGCATCTGAAGAAACTGACTATAAGTTGCCCAAACGCGCTAACTAGTCCCCCTAAGCGTCTCTGCGTAGCACCTCTGAGCGTCTCTGCGTCTCTATTCACCGCATCATCGCCCTCTGCTGAAAAAAACAGGTGGTCTTCTCTTATGACGTTTTTGACGAGGGACTCTTCTTTTTTCCCTCCTGATAAGTCAATTAGCCCATATAGATTCACATATGTACTGAACAGCCGACGATTCGCAAGCTTTGAATATGCCTTAATGTGATATTATATGATTCTTTCTACGCTTCTCAGTGGCTTTTTGTGATCCTCTGGTCACGTGATTCTCTATGACATTCGTTGAGACTATCGCCATACATTTACTAGCTTCTATCTCTGAAATTCTCCCTGAAAGATTCTACAGTTACAGATGTCACGAATGGTCACATTGTTCCTGTTATGCACACTGACTACACTTTGCCTTCCGTTACCGTTTCGACTCACAGGGCAATTACCGTCATCACTCATCGAACGGATATCACAGCCATTTGCCGATGAGGTCAGCTATCATTCAGTTTTTCCATGACCACGACGATGTAAGGGGGTGAGAGCGATCTAGAAGTAAAGAAATACAGCTTGGAGCGCTCTCTTCGCTTAAAAGGGAGATTCCGACATTAGAAATGTTTAGATCATTACTTTCGAGAAACATCATTTTCATTCAAATAGCCACTTTCAGGACGACGTGATTTTGGTGATGCCACGAATTCGAGCACGACGATCTCAGCCAATCATTGACTACACGGACGAGTTTTCTGCGGATCCGTTCGAGGTGCCAGAGAGTGTGTGTGCTTTATGTAGGAGAAAAATGAAAACAGAGATGAAACCGTCAAAGTGAAAAGTGCCCCCAGCATCTTTTGCAGCCAAGTTTGACCTAGTCCTGCTCCCTGGCTGTCCTGCATGCGAGCTCAGCTGGCCATAGAAGGTTACCTCTACAGGGGGTGGGCCAAAAAAAGTCACTTCGACCGAGTCACATATCAGCAAAGTTTTCGCAGCCCAGACAGAGGACGTGGATACGAGTACCAGGGCGGAAGATACCCAAAATCCCTTCGACCGAGTCACATATCAGCAAAGTATATCTAGCGCTATATCTAGCGCTCTTCACTTTTTGTTCCATTTCCATGTTTTATCGGTATTCTAAGCTATATAATCAGTGTTGTTCTGTTTGTGTTACTAACCGATAATAAATCGTAATCGTAAGATGTTCCTCGATAAGCAGGAGCTGGCTCTCGCCCATCACCTTCATGTACACCAAAATATGAAGTCATCTCCAGTCGCAGCCTGACTGGAGAAGACCTTTGGAATTCATGTCACCTCCAAACAGCTGCGAAACTTCTAGTATGGAGTCACCCATGGATAGCTACCTGAACCAGTAGATTAGATCTCGATTAGAAAGATCTCCAACATCGAGCAGCTCCAACAACGTCGCTACGGTATAGGACATCATCTTCACCGCAGTCGCCGGGTTGATGGTATGGACCGGACGTACCTGGAATGGAAAGACCGATATTTTCTTCGTGGACCCCGGACTGAAGGTGAGCGCTGGCGGTTACATCGAGCAACTCGAGAAGAATATCCTCCTCACATGTCGTCGCCCGTACCTTCTTGGAAACTTTGTACTGCTACAGGTTTGGGTGCCACCACATGAATCGAGGGGCGTTGAAAAACTCTCGCCTACTTGGAAGGCGTTGAGTACCTGAAGAAGATGGAATATCTAAGTGTGTCACCTGACCTAAACCCCTCAATTACCCGGTTCGGGCGGAGCTCAATAGGGTGGTCTACAGTGGCGGAGAAATCAACTATCTCGCTGAACTCAGGCACCGAATCACGGTTGCACGGCAGAATCTCTCGATGGCGCTCCTCCAGAAGGCTGTGGCGGAGTATCATAATATTTAATATGCTGTTGAATATGGTGGTAGAAATGTCCGATCAGAATTTAATAAAGTGTAACTTATAGCGCCTCGAAAGTCAAGGAAGAAAAGTGACTTTTTTGCCTCCCCCCTGTGCACTACACCTCCACTCAACCTCCACCAATGACGTTGGCGACAACCGCTCGCTCTCAGCAACCGTGCCCACTACCTTTCGAGAAACATTCAGCTAAAACCATACTGGGGACAGGGATACCCTTTTATGGGTAAACGCTGGGCTGAATGTGAGTGCTGCGAGTCGCAATCATTCCTGAATGAAGGGCAGGCCCGGAGACGTGTGGGAATTTTCCTCATATTTGGTGATTTTATGAGAGACAACTTCTGCTTTATAATAGAGAGATAAATGCTGTAACGTAGTTGGAGGGGGAGGGTCCTTAACTGCGCCCCTTTATCTCTTCTTCAATAGGGGCTTATGCTTACCTTATACTGGAGACGACCGAGAGTCGGGCAGGGATAGTACCGCATGGAAGACTAAGCCCAAGCTTTGATTAGAGGAAGGGATACGAAAACGCTAATGTGTTGCCACTTCCCCTCCCAACTACGTTAGAACTGAAATAAACAACGAAATAATGAACAATGACGTCATTTGTGTGAGTGTCGGTCAGTCATTGCTAGTACTTTCAGATGCCGCTGAACAAAGGAAGAAGACCATTGTAATTATGGGAATCATGTAGTTTAATAATTTTAATATTGTTTCTCATGTGTACTTATCTCCCTTGGTTTCGTTTGATCTCAAAACTCTGTGAAACTGTTGATAGCATATCAGTATCAATAGCAGCTCCTTCTCTATTACACGCTTGGATGAATCAGTCCCACAGGTTGTAATGACATGAATATTTATTTTCTCAATAATTTGTATCATTAAGTGAGAAGATCTTTGTGTAAACTTGGTACCATCATAATGTGGATTCGCATTTGTTAAAGGTCTCGTTGAAACTCTTTGGAATTTTTCACACTGTATGAGAGATGGAGTGATTGAAAATCATTATTGATGACTGGAGCATTGTATCAGGACGATTACATTGGTTACCAGCGAACTCTATGTGGTTTTCTGGGTCGTTTTTTTCAAACGATCCCAAAGGCATAAGGCACGATAATTTGGTACTTGCTTCAAAATAGTATTATAGCAGCGGTGCCATATAAGGGGGAAATGACGAAAACGTGAGGGAAGTTAAGCGGCCAAGAACCTGCAAACAGACCTTTTGTCCCGCCCATCATTGAACGAGAATACAGAAAGCATTCTGACACGAGTTTCCCGCTGGTGTCGTGCCAGCAACCGCTTTGATAGATACAGCTTCACGTATTTATTTATTTATTTATTTATTTCCTATGCACGTAATGGGTGCGCTACAATGTGCTCGAAACTGGATGGGTTGGACAGCGAAAACATTATCCTACTATATACATATAATCCGCTAAGTTTGTCTGTTGGTGTGTGTGTGTGTGTGTTTGACCGGAAATTCATAACTTCCTTCAAAACAGCGATAATGCGCTCAAACTGATAGATGATGTAGGAGGTCGGGCAGGAACATTATTGGTGGGTGGCAGGAAGCGATAGCAGTTGATAAGATACCATAAGGGGCCGTATAAAGGCGAAGTCAGCAAATTCATAACGCGCGTCACAGCAAGACTAGAGCGTTGGTTCCAAGAAGTAAGATAGGAGGCAGGATGGGAACATTATTGGTGGGTGGCAGGAAGTGATAACAGCTGATAAGATACCACAAGGGGCCTTAAAAGGAAGGGTCACCATAGCGCGGACCACAGCGACGACGGGATGTGGGTTCCAAGAAGTTAGATAGGGGCAGGATGGGAACATTGGTTGGTGGCAGGTCCTGCCACCCACCAACTGATAAACTTCAGCACCGGTGCCCAAGGAACAATGGTTAGAGGCTTCGTGAGTCAAGTATTCTATCCCTTAGCGATATGGTTACGACCGCTAAGCTCTCGAGTTTCGACGAAAATTAAAAGCCCTGGAAGCTGCTCAACGGAAGTACTAGGATGTGAGAAATGTGAGGATATATCACCATGATATCGATGTTATTACCATCAAAAGTCTTTCAACCGCTAAGCTGTCCTATTTCCAACGGATGGTGAGTGTTTCTTAGAAATGTGATAAGCACCAGACATTAGCAAACGTTCATTAATAGGAGAATCATAATGAAATAGGCCGTATTCTAAAAAATTGTAATCGGGCGAAGTGTTCGGGGTCAATACAGGAATCCTGTCAGCGCAGTACCATTACCATAGGTTCAACCATACGCGCAGTAGTGCGCGTCAGCCAAGCTTGTGTATATATTAGGTTGGTGCATAAGTTCTTGGCCACGATTTTTTTCGTAAATATCTCAAAAGCGAACCAACCTGAAGATTAGAGGTATGCACCATCACCATCCACTACTCGACGCCAGCGCTCAGGCAGCTTGTCGATTCCTTCCTTCCAGAACGACGGGCTGGGACTTGAAGAAGTCGTCGAGTGCCTTTCTGACCTGATCCTTTGTTTCGAACTTTTTTCCGTCCAGAGAGCGCTGCAGGTGGCTGAACAGCCAGTAGTCAGAAGGAGCGAGGTCAGGGCTGTAGGGGGTGGGCGACCATCAGCCATCCGTACTTCTCCAGCTCGGCCTGGGTCGCCTTTGCGGTGTGAGGTCGGGCGTTGTCATGGTGGAAGCAGATTTCCGCATTCGATCCACGAGTAAGGTCGACGTGAACTTTCAATTTGCGCATATGTGGAAGCGAAAAATCGTCTGTCCCTTCTCCAGCAGTACTCCATGCCTCTTCTGGACCACCAACAGGACAGGAGAACCTTCTTGGGGTGAAGGTCGGCCTTTGGGGTGGCTTCTGGCTGTTCTCCTTTGTCGACCCACTGCCGCTTCCTCACAGGGTTATCGTAGACCCACTTCTCATCTCCAGTGATCATCGAGTTGAGAAAGTGGAACTTCTTTTGTGAATCGTGAAGTAAAACCAGGCAGTGGCGCAGGTACATTTTGTCACAGTGGAAATTGTGCGACATTGTGGCCTGCAAATGCAAGGTGGGTGAGTGATAGCTAGTGTGATAAAAGAGTATAGTGCCCACGTCACGCACACGTGATGACGATATACCAACATCCATGCAAACGAAATACGGAAGGATCAAACACGTGGCCAAGAACTTATGCACCAACCTAATACATACAGCGATGTAGAAACGCTTCATACTAATTGTACTTCATTACTGGCGATGAGGTACCAGCGTCGATGTGACTGTGCGGCCATTCGTGGGCGGGCGGTTGCGGTGGGCGTGTGCGTCGGCGCGTTGCAACTCGGTTAGCCGTAACGGCTCAAGCTTGATACATTCGCTTTACCATGCTAACGCTTCGGCGCGAATCGCCTTCTCCGGAGTCTGGAAGGTTGAAACATATTATCGAGGCAATACCCAATAACCATTTCAAACCACAGAAAGAAAACAAAGGGTAGGAAGCTATAGAAGGAAAAAGTGAAAACCACTAACCTTTCACGAATGTATGTTTTACCGAGAGCTCAAGAAAACTATAAGATTGCTTATGTCTCTATCAATCTCGAGAGAAAGCATACTTTAATATTACGTCCATAATGCCGAGAATTATGCACGCCCGTGGGACTTTGGTAAATGTTAGAACGTGTATTTTTATGATCTGCTGCTTACAATTAGCGCCACAGCTTGCTCTCCGAAAATTATCAAAGAATGCTGTGTTATGAGCAGAACTTGCGCACTTGTCTGGTAAGTAAGGTGCTGCTCCAACTCTCGCCAGCGTTCAAGATTTTGCCCAGGGCATGACGCTGCGACGCTAACACAGTGGGCCGAGAAATAGATATTTGCAATTTTTGTATAATTTGGCAAACTATCCTCGTGGATTATAAAGACGCTTTAGCTGAGAGTAAGGAAGATGGAATGATGAATGTACGAAGAGGATAGTATTCGGTTACCCAGTGCAGTATGCGGGGAGAAGGTCTGCAAAAAACGAAGAAAAAGAGGTCTGCATGATTGATGCGACCAGGGTAACATCGGTTACCCGCATTTTTATCCCATATCATTTTTATTCATATATCATTTTTACTTCAACGAACGCCCCGCCCATCGTGGGCGGAGCTTGTTTCCTTGTGTATGTGCAAATGTTGGCCCACGCCACATCTATTTCAAGCACAATCAGTTCCCTGAGAACCAATTTTTATGAGCCCCCCACTTCCAGGCAGTCACACAGACCCACAGACGCACAAACAACTCTCCTGGTTTATATATAGAGAGATTGCCATGAATGTCAAAAACAGGTGGTATAAGAGCGGAGAACTGCTAGAAGGGAAAGGACGGTCCACCTGTTTGTCGGGAGCGCTTTTTTCGGCGTTCTCGCTATGTGTGGTGTGGCGTTGTTGTGCTGGAAACAAACATTGGTCTGCTGTCCGCGAATAGGTTTGAGATGAGTCTTTTGCTTCCGTAACAGAGGGAGGTGACCTTCGCCGTCACTGTCGTTCCTTTGTCTAGTAACTCTCAGTACTCCACGCCAGGAACTCTCTACCACATCCACACCGTCACCTTTTCCGCGCGAAGAAAGAACCCTGCACCTTTCAGAGTTTTTGTACGTCTTCTTCCTCTCTTGCCTCGTCAACTCTTTGCAGGACGGTACACGTGAGAGTAGAAGATTCACTTTTCCCCAGCGGCAGGTTGTCGAGCCATGTGCTTGGGAGTGAAAACAGTGAGTACCATGTTCGCACTGTGATCCATGTCCATGTTGCGTCAAAGCGTGGGGTACCTATCTACCAATTTCTTGGGCTTCGATCCATGAAGAACGGTTGCGTGGGAAACACCAACATTGCTTGACAATTGACGACTAATTTTTATGGATCTTCCTTCACAAGGGCCCGCAGTAGCTCCCAATCTAATTTCAGTGGGCGCAGACCTGTCTAAATCTTCGATGGAAAAGTTACCCTTCTTATGGCATTTTCCGTACTCTAGAAAGTACTCAGTGCTTGTAACCCCTTTCCTGCTCTATCGGTTGACTGCTCACTTGCCTCCATTGGGATGCCAATTGGCTAAAAAACCAACATCAAAACTTTATAGTCGCGAAATATCACTACATATCTTCTTTTCAACCCATTACTAACAGAGCGGCGACATTCCGCTACTGCGGTGGTCCACGGGCCCTCCGATGAAGACAGTCTTGTCGAAACGTCAGGCCGTTAATGAAAAGTGCTCCACCTGACAGCCTCGTCGGCGCATTAGATTACAGTTAACTAGGTTTTATGTTTCGTAATTTTCTTAACAACCGTTAAACCTTCTCAGACCGAAAAATATTTTGAATGGGTTTTTGTTGGGCTTTCACAAAAACACATGCGATTTTTTATGCCTTGACAATTATGATATCTATAGTGCAAATGTTTGCGAAACCTGATGTACGAAAATGGGAAGAATGTCCCCGCATTTCAACAATGTATGTGCACTTTTCCCCCAATCTATCCAGCAGCCTCATGTGGTCGGTGGGGGTGACGGTTTTGGACTGTTCCAAAAACGTACCAATGCGGAGGGTGCCACGTCAGAGCCTGGCGAGCTACGCGTGGTTAATTTTCTTCTCGCCGAAAACAGTAACAACTATGGGCCTCATTCCCCTGAAGCTGAGGGAACCACCGACAGGGCGACGTCGGCTGGGACCGCTCGGACGAGGCTGCTAAA